AGGATTTATATCTGCATTTTTTTTTTCCAAATGAAAATACAAATTGCACATACATTTTTTTCCTCTGATTTGGGGAAATATTTTATATTGGTAGTAAATCAATAAAATTAACTTCATGTCACATTACATGAATTTTCTAGAATAACAACAAAAGAATAATTTCTGGGGTCTATTACACGGATTAGAAAAGTCTAAAGCCTTTCTGTCATTGCCTTAATGTTGTACTTTGGTACACTGTTTTTACAAATAATATGACATACTATGTTGTTTTTTCTCTCCTTTCTTCTTGGAGTCTATGCATTAATATAGCTTGCACACATTTAGCAACAGACTTCATTCAACAGAAAATAACTTCAGTAATTTAAATGGAACCTCTCAAAAAAACCAGCTGCTACTAATAGAGGCTTCATGATTTGGCCTTCAGTAAAAACACTGGGGTTAACTCAGATAAAATGTATATGTGCGTTCTCAGAACCAGCAAAGCCTTTCCTATGCTAAATCAGCTACTTATTTTTGTTAAATGTAAAAGTCATTGCCACAAGCCCTTGTTTAAGAGAGAATTGTCAGTGCAATAAATGGCAATATGGGAGCAAATATTAATGTTTTAATCTGAATCAGGAGTGTGCCTTCAAAGTAAATTCCCTGTTTGTGCCCACTTACTGTGCTGTGGGTCACAACGCAGGGTGGTTCCTGGACGCCTGCAGCCTAAAACTGAGCCTGAAGGTTAGTGTGCGGCCTCTGCAATGCCCCAGCTACATCCAGACATCTGTCCATGGATCAGATTAAAGACCAAAGTAACCTCTTCTAAAATCTCTGGTCTATCAGACCAGCTATTTTGCTATATAAATCCTCATAGGTTACACACTTGTTAATGAATCATACCCCATGCCAGCCATCTTCTATACGTAGTTACATATATCCTCAACCTGGCTTGGGAGAGGTAACTGTATCTAAAGATGTCAATGAAAAGCAATGACTATTTCCTAGTTCTGTCTAGGAAACATGTCTGTGGAATGTCTTTTAAAAACATGTGCTAATCGCATGCATGCATTTCACTGAATGAATTAGCTAATTTTTTCATTTCGGCGGCCAAAATGTTACCACTGATAAGGGCGTAATTTTTTTCTCGTCACACAAAGTCTACCCAGAAATTAAAATCAAGTTGCTGAAACACCACCCTTAAGCTTAGTTAATCACTACTAAAATTCTGACTCTGAGAAAGGTTTAAAAATCATATGACAACTCCCCTGGAAAAGTGATACCATAAACACACTCAGTTTTGAGACTACTGGCAGTTATTTTGCTGATGAATGTTACTTTTTTCTTTTTGCTTGCTTTATGGCTGCATTTAATTGTCCAAATAAGTGATCACATCATCGTGTTAGTTACTCTTTACCTAGAAAGCAAAAAGATGACCCTCATGACATAATAATCAAATAATTGTTCATGAGCTTCTGCCATTCCCTGAAGCAGTCTCAGGATAAATTGTTGGGTTTTTTTCTTTTGTGATGGAAACTTGAATAACCTGGTTGGGATTGAAGAAGAGAAGCTTCCTTGCTCCTGTAATGCCATGAATTCCTGCTAGTTAAACAAAAACAGTGTGGGGATGCAGGGCCTCTGGCTGAGTAAATGATTGGCAGAGTCTTGTGAATCTTGCTTTTGTTTTTTTCTAGATGTCTACTTGTAATGCAGCTAAACTGAAGAGAGAGATGATTGTGGGTTTGATTGTCAGGTACAGTGTTAAATGCCATCATCTGCATGGCAGTTCAGAGACAGAGTGCTCTGAAGCAGACCACACCCAACCCCGTCTGCAAACTCATTAATCTAGCCTGGGTCTGAACTTTGGATAACTCTCACTCTTACACTGGTGATGATCTTTAACACTGAAGTCTTTCTGAATAGGCTATACCCAGGGCTAGCAAGAGGGATCGTTGCCTCTAGAACAGGTGTGAACAGACCCACAAGTGGTTTTTACACCATCACATCTTCCTACTCTTGCTTGGCACTGCCTTGCTACAAGTGTTTGTTCTTGTGGCTGAGTTTACAGGATTAAAGCTTGCTGCAGACTCAGTAAAAGGCAAGGACTGTGAGTATCTACCTGCTGTATGAGACAGAAGAACAGCATGGATAGGTGCCAGTGTAGGATCAGTGTCACAACACGAATACGCAAAAATGCCAGTGACAGAAAGTAAAGGGTTAAGTTACCAAAATATTTTAACCCTGGGTTGTACTTTTGGATCTCACAGAAACACTACATTACAAGGAGATTTAGTCCATTGCTATTTAGAATAGATCCCAGGCTGCCAACATGAGTCTTTGTCATATTGTTTTTATTCTTATAGGAAATGAAAATGTATCATCTTACAGTCCATGCAAGTGACCATGCATATTTTTGCATGTTTTAGCCTCTTGCTCTGTAAACTGTTCTACTTAGGTAGATCTTTTTTTTGTCATTTCAATGTATTTTCAGATACACTCATGAAATTATGCCACCAAAGAGGACGGGCCTTTGTGAAAGAGCTGAGGTCTAGCAATTCATTTGGTGAATAAGCTTTGCCTTTTGAAAATTAATTCAAACTACTACCCATTACTCTCCACTTCTATATTGCCTAGGTGGACCGACTTCTTTTGATGGACTTATTTCTTAAACTGTTTATGTGAAAAGAGAATTTAAGTTGTTTTGAGGCAGAGAATATTTTTAAAGCACACATGTTCCCCCATAAAACAAACTACAGGGGAGATATAACTGAGATGTCAAAGGAGGAACTTTCATTCACTCATTCAGCTCATTCATCGAGTATCAGTAAACAATATTTTTAAATAGCTGCCTTTATAAATTCTGTGACTTTTGTCAAAATGCCAAACAGAAATATTCATTTAAATTATTATTTTAAAGTAATATTTGGAATGGATATTGCCTTTCTAATTATTCAGGTGAAATTTCCATTACGAAGAAAGGTTTTCATTGGGTGAATACAGAATTGCCAGGACAAAAGTCTTCCAGAGCACAGCTCCATTCTTCTTCAATTAATGGTAAGTTTGTGCAAATCACTCCATCTTTTTAATAGAAGTACTCTTGAGATTTCCTTAATGTATGATAGGGATGACTAAAGGTTGGGTGACTTGGGTGGGTTCAGGCAAGTCAGATGCACCTGTTGCTCCCCCTTCAACATAATGTGGAAAAATCTCTCTACCTGTTTGGCTTAGCTTATATAACCACAAAATAAAGATAATGAGGCTGAACCAATGTCTCTGATAAGTGGTTTTGAAATAGATGTCTCACAATCACTGTATTATAATTGGGGAAATTTAAGCTATTAAGCGCACCACAGCCTGACTCTCCATAGAGTCATTAGAGAGTAGTAGTCATAATGTGTAATACAAATTACTAGCTTTGATGGAACACCTACTTCTCTCCTACCTCTCTTGACTTTTTGTGCCATAGTAGTTACAACAACGAAATTAGGAAGCCACACTCAGTGCTCTGAGAAGGGGCTTGTGCTACACTTCATCAGACTTTACCTTCTCGTGCAACAGAAGGGCACACATTTATGGATCATGATATCCCATGGGCTGAAGAGCCGTGTCTGGTTTTATTTCCATGCAGTTACAGTAAGCAATTAAGTGGCATAAAGTTAAGGGATATTGAATTAATATACAAATTTTCTCATGGTTGAAATAATATTAATTTTATATTTTGTTTTGAAGGACCCAGTTACAGAGTGAGAACACTGAAAAGCTTAATGCACAATAGCAACTCTGACAAAAATGACCTGTTCTACCTCGTGTGGGACAGATTACAGTACTCCAGACATTACTACAAATTAGTTCCCAGAAATGTTCATACTGAACACCTTTAACAGTGAAAAAAATAATTCAAGCTCTGCATGCAGTGCGAAGTGAAGGGGTTTTGATCATCTCCATCCTTCAACTATTACTGAAGCAGACAATCTGGGAAGTATAAAAATAGATTCCCGGGAATGATATTCCTGAGACTTACATTTGTAATTACAGCTGTAATTTTAGCATGAAAATTATTTACCGAAGAATCATGCATGTCACCCAAGTCCCCTGTGTAGCCAGAGAAGAAAGTCAGGGACCCTCAGAAGTTTAATCCCACCTTTACAGACTGTCTTTGCTGGAAGTGTTGGCTTCTCTTTGCCAACTACAGGAGGAGCCTGAATCTTTAGCTGGAACGAGACTCTAGTGGTTAAATAATGCAAGTTATAATGCAAGAAATCCTGTTCTAAGTGAGAAAATGTAAAATGTGAGATATTTCACCCCTGTGACTAGTTCTAACTGCAGACCCTTTCAGTGGGTAAAATGTACTATCCATTTCCCTCAGAGATTTGGATAAATGACTGCAAAAAGCAGCCTGTACCCAGTTAATTCTGTTCCCACTGAAGTTTGAATACTTTCCAAAAAACTGTCCTTGAACTCTTAACAGAATTTGGATGGCCTTAGAAAAATAAAAAGAATGCTGACCAGCCTAAACCACACAATAAAATATTCCTTCTTTTGGAGCTGTCATGTACACTAGATGGGAACCCTCTAAGCTATAAATGTCTCATAGGAAGCCAGGTCAAGGAGAAGAATCTGATTCAGGATATCTACCTGATGATAAAAACCATATTGCAAATTGTTTCATAAATCCCACTGCCAAAAATTTAACCCCGTATCCTAGATACATGTGCTAGTAAATGTGCATTACTCAGGCTGCAAAGGGAGTTATCATCCTTTCAAAATATTTATCGTTACTGAAATCAAGTCCCAAGAAGAATCACAGGGTGCAAGGGCAAAACAGTTAAGTTGTCAAATACGTCCTTTTGCGTGTGTGAAGATATTTGAAGATACTTGCTTCTTGGCTATTTTCTGCTTGGAAAGCAGGAGATACAGTTTGCCAATGTCTTGTCCCTACATCAAAATCTCAGAAGAATCCTTCAGTTAGCTTGACATTAGAAGATAGAAGGATGTCTTTCACCAGTTCTAACTAATGGCCATCTACAGATGAACATGCTCAGAAGAAACTCAGTATTTCTTCAACTTTTTCTTAGTTTTATATTAAAAAAAAATACTTACTGTTCAAAAAACAATAAGACTTCTCCATTCTATTCAGCAGCATTGCAAATCATGGCATTGGTTAAGACTGGTTTTAATAATATTTTAATAAATCAAATCTTTCATAATAAATAATAAACATATACACATATATTCACATATATTTGCAAATAAATATAACTCTGTTCAGTTGGAAGAGTATTATTTCAGTTTTTGGTGTAACCATATGATAACAGGGCTGCGTAAAAATCTTGACTGGATGTACACTCATTCACGTACCCAAGGAGGGTACAGGCCAACCCAGTTGTCTGTGGGCTGATTCAATCCCATTAACAAGATGTGATGTGGGCAGTCCTAACCATAGCAAAATTAATGAGACTTTAGCTGTAAGGTTAGATGGGGCCAGAATTTTATGTCATTTTGGAAACAACAGCAGAAAGTGATAAATCAAACAAAAATTCTCCAAACTTCAAAAATGTTGTTATTGCCTATCTAGTTGTGCACTTTCAGGCTGGTTTTGACTTTATCCTATGCAAATTATCACCACAATTTTACAGATCCACATACTTTAAAAGACTGCTTCCCACGCTTTAATTTAAAAAATGATTCATGTGTGAAGATAAGCATTTACTTTCATCAGCATAGAGTTTTGGAGCTAAAGTAATTTTTGGCTGGAAGATAAAGCTAGAAATACAGAACTCTTATCCTGTTCTTGTGAGATACAATAAAATTGGGCTTGACTCAAAACTGTTGAAATTGATCTCATTTCATCTTAAATTGTAGAGTTATCATATATTTCCTATTGAGGAGTTTTGCCGTGCTGAGAATCTAGATAAACAAGTAATTGGCAGGGTTTATCTATAATTATACCAGCTGCTGTGGGAACTGAGATTAGTTCAGCTCCAGTGACTTTAATTTGTAAGGTATGAAACATTGTCAATCTGATTGTTTTATAAATGTAGGAAAAAGCCTGTGACAAGCTGCAGGTAGCCAAGAAACCTCTGAGCACCAGCCGGAATTAATCTGTCAGATGAATATTCACAGCCATTTCGCTATGTATACATAAGCAGGTAGATTTACACAAGAGTCTAAAGCCGCTAATTGTTCCAGCTGCTGAGCCCACAGCTCCTCTACTGAACTTCATCACTGGATGTGCCCGTGTGTCTATGCAGACAGCTCCAGCTAGTGCTTCGGTAATACCTGCAACCCCAGTGGTTGTGTCCCTGAGGTTTGCAGCCCACCCTAGGAAGGGCAAGCCACGCATCATGCAGCCGTGGTGGCCCTGCTATAGACCTACCCCGAGGTGAGAAGGTTTTCTCATGACTACAAGTTACCTCCACGGGACAGAGCAGCCCTCCCAGCACCTCGCAGCCCTTCCCCTTGCAATGGAAATGCCTGCTTTCCACTTGTCTATTCATTCTCTGCAGAACCCAGCCGGAAACACCTCGTCTTTTAGCCAACTCCTTTTATAAGTCTTTAGACATTGCACGTGCCGTTCTTTCTCCATGGTACATGCAGATATCTGTATCTCTTTCTCCAGTCAGAGAACCCAAACCAGGCTTGCTCTTCTGCATCTCAGCCAGTTGAAGAGAGGCACTGAAATAGGGAGAGCTGTTTCTCAGAAGAGTAATGACATAGGCACATGATGTGTGCTATATTTTTTCCATTTCTGCTAAGAATAGAAAGTTATTCTAACTTTTAATCATGTGTTTAATGCTTGTCATCAATCTGTCTCCTCTCCAGAGCAGGTTGGACTGTTGGACTCAATTACTCAATTAAAGGTGTCTTCCAATATAAATGATTCTATGATCCCAGTGAACTGTGAATGGGCATATAGCATGGGAGCTAAGGTTGTTTACTGCTCTGCAACTAGAGATGTGACTAATTTCAGCCAGTTCTTATAGTTCATTTAGGGCACTGTTTTTAAGCCTTACCTTATTGTTAGATATGTTCAGATAATCAATACCATGCATACAGAGATCAAAATGCGATAATACAGCCTGTTATGTCACACAGGAATTGAAATTTGGATTCTGGTAGTTTTCATGGACAAGATTTAGGATGAACAGAGCTAAAATTTCTTACCTTCTCTAGCACTATTTCACATTTCAAGAACTGATTTAATATAGATTAATAGTGAAAATTTCTATAATATATCCTTTGGATTTTTGAAGAACAGCAGAATGCCTATCAAGAAACACACACCCCAACAACACACTGAAGGAAAGATAAATAAGTACATTCAAATACTTAAACCACAAAGAATATATAAAATGAAGAATTAGCTCTTCACCCACAAAATCATGCCCTCTCCTAGCCTTACAAATTCCCTCACTTCTCAGAAGGTAGGAGAAAATATATAGCTTTTAGCATGATCCCATTATTAACATCTTTCTTGTGTTCCCCATAGAACTGAAAATGTTATAATCAACATCTCTTTTGCCAGAAGTTACTTCACCAAAACCACAGCATTTTATAAGATTTTGACAAAAAAAGAATGTTTTGTTTTCACTTTATCATTTCAGTGGGTTTTTTTAATCAAAATGAAACACTTTGTCCAACTTTTTAAAGAAGTTTACAGTGTGATGATGAAATTATATTAGGCAATTTTTAACCATCCATGACTATTGCTACTAATGATTTTGCTAGTGTTGTGATAAGTGATGTTCTTTAAAAACTTCTGTTTGCCTTAGATATGTGTGAACCTCACTTTCCACTGCAAAAAAAGTAGGAAACTTTTGCCCCTACAACTGCTCCTGCAGTTGTAGAAAGTTTCCAAAAAAAATGACTGAGTGTACAGTTAAGATACAGAAGCAGTAAAAAAACCCTAAAAATTATTCTTTTCCTAAAAACAAGCAGGTCCAATCCCTGCTCAGCTCTTGCCCACTGCTCATTTTGTTGTAGAATATATATTTACTCTTCCTTCCTGGAGCTGCTCCAGTATCCATACTGCCTGTGGTTGTACTACACTATACACTGCATCCGTTGCAAACACGTAGTGTATATAGAAATGTCTCATTTAGGGTCTGTGTGTGCATATGCAAAAACCCACAGAACATACAATAACTGATAGCTGATTCAGAGACCAGAATTTGTCTTTCTCACAGCCCAGGTAACTGGCCCAGTGATGGGGCTGGGACTCCATCTCTTCCTCACTGACTATGGGAGGTGGAGCGGCTTGAGAACAGATAAGGCCCTCTGCATTTCAGTTCCTATATAAACGAAAGTTATTTAATTGCATAAACACAACAGAATCAGTGCAATGGGAAAGTACCAGAAAGGTCTCACATTTTATGCTTGATCTGAGTCCTCTTGTCAAGTCATCTAACCTCCGCACCTCTCCATCCGAGGTTCAGGGCTTATGCTACATCCTCAACAGAAACTTTTCCTTCAGATTATTTGATCGAAGCTGATGGATTGATTCCTCCAGGAAAAACAAGTTTCTCCTCATTTGGAAAACAAAAGTTGAAACAACTCCCAGTTGTTTCAACAGTTGGAATTTTTAGCACATAAGCTGCCTAAGTGACATTTTGGTGAGAAGCCTAAGAGAAAGAGGAAACTTATGGGCACAGGGCCCAGAAACACAGTGTTAGAACCCATTTTACACTAATTTCATTCTAGATCAAGTATTGCTGCACACCGCAGTTATGGTGATTGTGATGAGGTCTAGCAGGTAGGTATGAGTCAGGTCTACTCTGATACTGGGAATAAAATTAACACCTTAAAATCAATGGGGAGAATACTCCAAAACGCAAATCATACTAACAAGCTCTTCCCATGGAGTGGAGTAAAAGGTACTGCTCTGCATATGAATTGCTATTGGAGCTGTTATTTACTGAAAGGAATCTGAAAATTATTTTGGACCAACTGGTGAAGGAAGAGTTATTCCTACTATTGGCATACCCTCTAGGCCTTTTTCCTCGTTTTAATTACTTATGTCAGAATTGATAGCTAATTTAACTTATATATGTATGCATTCCAATTCAGATCTCAAATCTGATTCTTATTACTGAAGGAGTAAATGTTTCATGTCTGCTTTCTGTTGTTTTACTTATAGGTGAAACAGTCTACATTATTGCCTATTCCTCCTGCATAGTTCTCATCCTAGGAATAGTCCTGTTGACTCTCCTAAAGATCAGGTAATTTGATAGGTATATTAATCATTGATTCTAGGAAATTGCAAAAGCAAAAAATGAAATGTTTTTACTTAGTTAAGAGGTTGGCACTGCAACTGTCTTTAAAAACAGTCCAGTGATGCAAAGAACTGACATTGTGGGTGTCAGCAGGGAGGAGTGAAATACGATGCGTATCTACAATGCCCTCCATTCATGCAGAGATCCCAGGCTTCAGGAGGTTTCATTTCCTGTCCCATGGCAGGGGAAGGTGAAATCTGAATTAAAAAAAAAATCTGTGAGGCTACCTTCATAGTCCTGTAGCAGGCAGAGGTAACACAGAAAGGAAATGAAAATATTGAGCATTATAACACATTTAGAAACCAAACCGTGAATGCTGCTATTGTAGTTAATCTTCTTGCCAAATGCCAGTTTTGCTGATAGGATTCTGTAAACATTCCCCCCCACACAGTATGTGAAACTGCTCATACACCAATGTTTGGTAAGAAAACAGAAATGTGCATTCACTTAGTCAAATGAACGTGGCCTTTTCTTAAATGATACATTTTCTTGGACCAAATTAAATGGCCAGATTTCAAGACTTACACTGTCAGATGATAGGTAACAGAACATGATGTAGCAGGAGCTATATACAGTGGGAGGGATATTGAGTCAAATTTCATTATTAAATTCTGAGGCAGATCAAAGAGGAATCATGCACAAAAATGCAAAAGGCAAGTCAAGGATATATGGGAATAGAGGCTTTCTCTTTAGGTTTGCAGTTACAGAAATATCAGCATATAAATAAAACTCAGATTTAAAGAATACAGGGGATGGAAGAAAGAACAGTACATCAATAATGGTGAAGGGAATTATTTTATATCACAGTGTTCATCATAAAAAGAGGGGAATTTTGCCACTGATTTCAATTAAGCCAAAGTTCAAACCAAAAGTTGTGTAGCTTATTGTTAAATACATACACATTCTTTGTTTGCAGAGCCTGCAGAACAAAACATGAGTCAAGAAGTCCCTCACCAGACCATTCTTCTGAAACATTTATGGTCCATTATAAGAGTCACAGATGAACTACTCTGTTGCTTATGCTTTTTAAGGCTATTCCTGAAAGCCAGCCTGTTGTACATATGCGATAATAAAATACATATTAGAAAACCTACTATAAATTATGGCATTTTGTAGTTGAGCATACAAAAGATTTCTGTGTTTATTAATACATACTAAACCTTTCACAAGCTAAAAAAAAACCCCAAACTGTACTCTGTCTCATTTGGGTAGATTCACAGATCTGTCCTGAGCTGCAAATAGCTGCACATGACAATGGTAAAACGCTGTATCAGCATGAATCTGCTCAGCAGTGTCAGTCTTTGAAATCCACCCTTCTGATCTGAACTCAGCTGGCGTAAAGGAAACAAATCCACTCAGAAACATTTGAGGGAGCTGTTAAAAAGTACATCTGTGGTAGTTTTGTACAGGAGGGTCCCAGGTCCCACGTACCCGACGCAATAATTCTAAGGCCGCAGTCACAGGTAGGGAGTCTGCAGTCTGATGGTGGAGCACTTGGTGGGATAGGAGATCAGGATTACAACCTCTTTCAGTATGAGGAGGAATTAAACTCTGACTATCTCGGCTAATCCTTCAACCCCAATATATTGTTGCTGAAACTGATTTTCTTTTCTCCTCCGATATGCTTCAAAAAGAAATGTGTAAGCCTTGCCAATACGAATATGGTAATTTTAGAAAGCATTTTGTGGTCTGAATGCCCTGTGGAGAGAGCCACTTGCTTGGGGCTGAAGTGCCTACTTGGAGAGAGAGAAGTTAAGACCGATCTCATCATCTGTGTTTCCTATTCATTGTCTCTAGGCAATACCCGAAGTGCCTAATTCTCCCCATGAACTGTACTGGGAGTCACGGTCCCTAACACATCACTCTGGATCCCACTTTCTGGCTATGAATTCTGGATTTCTCCCCGTAGCTGAGTTGTTTTTCTAGATTTAAGCTACTATTTACTAGCAATTGGTTGTCTTTGCTATATCTTTGTAATGATCTGGTTCTGGGCAGCACAGGATATTGAACTGGCATTTCTTATACAACCATTACCATGAGTAGCATATGTATTTTCCTGTTATGATAGCATCTGATGAGTTAACTTTATTTTGAAATTGATTAATTTGAATTTTGTCTGAATTCCTACTTTAGTAGCAACTAACACAACAAACAGCATCAGGAATGAAATTCTGGTTCCACTGAATTCAGCTCCAGTTTTGACCATTCAGATCTAGGGCTGGATATCTATGCTGTGATCAGAAGAGCAGGTATTTCTACCCTTCAATGAGACTTTTGCTTCTGGCTTTGGTAGCTTGTGAAATGATTTAGTGTGAGAGAAAAATTTTAGGTGTGCAGTTCTGCTGGGGAGAGTTTTAGAAATTATTAACAACTATTACAACATGCATTTTCTCTTTCCATAGGATCTGCATAAAAACAAAAATTCTTTCTTATTTTGCAATCAAATTCTCTCTCATTACTGAACCAGTCTTTGGACAAAAATACAACAGAAAAGTGCAAAGTTGGTTAGTTTGTTAATCATAAGTCTCCTTTACCAGTCCAGCAATTTGCAACATTTAGTTTACCTCCCACTATGTAGTTATTTTGATAGTAGTATACTTATATTAATCTTAAAACCATATAGAGGAAAGAGTTCAAACTGAAAATACTATTGAGAACATGTTCTCATCAGTGTTAGATAAAAGCATTTCTTTACATAGGAAATGTACATATGAAGTGAATCCTGAGTTGGTTTTCGGTCTGACTTTAACAAACGATGCAATGCTGAATCCTCTGTGTCAAAAAAAAAAAAAAAGAAAAAAAGAAAAAAAAATCAATTTATATTCTGATTTAACTAAACCTCAGTCATTAAAACATCTCTTGTAACTTTCTGTCTTATAAACTTCTTGTTTTCTTATTATCATATATTTAGCTGTTAGGAACTCTCCTCATAGATGTGCTGTCACACACACTCACACACAAGTATGTAAAATGTATTTGAAGCAGAGTGCAAGTATATGAGTTACTCTGAAAGACAGCAAGACAGCAAGTGGCTATTGTGTTGCTTCTGTAATTTTACAGGCTCTCTTCTTTAGGGCTGACTTTAATGCTAAATGGAAAAATACACTTCCTCCATTATACATGTAAAATGTATTACTTTTATTTACATTTCCTAGTGACTCTGTATTTTGTCAATTGTATCTAGGCATTAATTATTAAATAAAGGCATTTCTGCTGGGATGATCTGTATTCAGGTGATCATGATTAGACTCTAACTGCTTCATCAGCAGTTCTGTGACGGAAAAAGAAGCAGTATCTTTGTGTCAGCCTTATCATTAAAATCTTTTCCCCTGAAATGAGACATCTACACCTATTCCTGGCTGAGGAAAATTGTCTCGTTGATGACTTGGGATTCCCAGGGCATAGGTAGTTCTGGGTAAGGTCATCGCATTCATCCCCCTTCCATTGGAAGACTTACTGGGCTAGAGAGAGAAAGCATAAGTTTTAGCCTTACAGCACTCTCCTTCGAAAGGGCGAATACTGGGTTCTAGTTTTTTCTTTCAAGTTGGTTTATGCAGTTTATCTAAAGATTGTTTCAAATTAAATATGTAAACAGTTTTTGAGACAAGTACACAGGACTAGCTGTTCCTTATGCACTATGGAAGCTGCAAGGCTCTAAAATCCAAGTCTCCTCTCTTGCCACAGTGAGTCTTCAGTTCTTCAGAAGGAAGATTTTCCTCTGCCATCTCACCTGTTTGTGAGGTGAGAGAATGGGCTGCTTGGAGAGACAGGCTTGGGCTCACCCATTTCCAGTGGTTGTGGGATTCACATCCTGCTACTCTTGAGCTACCTGTTAGATCCATCTACTAACATAGAATATGGATGGAAGCTACACCAACACCCTTAATAATGCCTTAAGAGTGTGCACACCATTCGGTTCTTTCAAAAAAATTACTCTGGGTGTCTTTCCACCAGGGAAAATACTTGGATTCAAGCTGGTGAAGGTAACTCACTGCAGGTCATGTTAGGACACTCCAATGGTAGCAAGAAAGTTCCCTGATTGAGATGCTGATGTTTCAGACCACATGCTGAAACCGTTCAGTCTCCCATGAAGTGTGCAGGGGGTCTCAGACATCACTTAACGGGTACAGATTCCTACTCTGCTGTCAAACATCTGAAGTTAAGATAATGCCTCATCGAATTTTTCAACTCCTGCCCCCATTCCCAGCTGTGGCTTTTAACGTTTAGTTAATGGAGAGAAGAAATGTTTCCCTAGTAGCTTAGAAGAGATTTGTCAGCTGTAAAATCACACAGGCACAACTGATAAAATGGTAATCCTAAGAAAATGCACTCCAAATGGATTACCAGGTAACAAAGTCAACACAGGCGTACATGTCAGAGAGACAGTTTATATTTGCTAATGCCGTATGTGTGAGCCGGTTCGTCAGTGCTGCTGAATCTGGCATAATACATGAGTATATCAGTTTCAATAAACACTGAGAAAGATTTTATTTCAAGTTTACACCACATATTGCAAGATCACAAACACATTTGACCAAGAGGGTACATGGCAACTCCTTAACAAACATATCATCTCTCTGACATCAGTTTCAAAGCACTAAGTTGACTTTGGCTGTAGTCCTTCTGCCTGCTGTGTTATTGCAGCAATGAAGATCAACACTGCATTAGAGCAGGACTGTAGAGGAAAATAATCTTCAAAGATATAACACAACAGAAGAAAGCATTGATCAGCACATCAAGAACTGGAAAGCAAGTGTCTTTCATTCACTTCTCCAGACTGATTCTTCTGTTCAGTCAGCTCTCTAGACATTTCACAATCAATAAAAAGAACTTAAGGCAGTCTGAGAAATCACAGAAAAACTCTGTGGCAAAGAATACTCATTTTCAGGTATCACAGTAACTAAACAATATTTCTACCTCTTAAAAATAACTCTGTGAAAAAATAGGCAGATCTTATACATTCACACTAGCTCTTTGGACAAGTATTATTTTGTTTCAACAGCACTGATCCCAAACTTAGGAATTTTACCTCACAGACTTTCAGTCTTCATTTTGTGACTCCTTATTACAATAAAAGCTTTATGAACTCAAATGATGCTATTAAGAAAGGAAAATTAGCCAAAGCCTCTCTGGATTTATGAATAAGACCACAATATTCACTTCTTATTTCCATAAACTCTGGTTATACATGAAAATGAAACATTAAAGTGCTGGTCCAGAGCCAAGTTGCCCTAATACATAGAAGTTTAAACTACAAAGCAAGCTGCTTCTGGAGGAGTAGCACTATCCATGTACGGGATCCATGTCATTGCTGTCTTGTGACAGGCACTGAAGAACAAATATGCCCATTACTAACTGAACTGATCAACTTGTCCTCTGAAAAAGCACACCAGCCATGCCTTTAGAACAATGTAGTATCTTCACCAGCCAAAGAAGCCAGTATTTGACTTTACAGCTATTGCCAGCAACATGGGAAACAGAAAATCTACTGCTCAGGCCAAGACACAGACTAAAGACTGCCTTGAGAACTCCAATTTACATATTCCATGGCCTTGGCACAAGCAAGATGATCTCCATGTTGTTCTCAGAAATCTCTGTAGTGACTTTGAGACAGTAACATACAGAAGAAAGTCTCCAAACCATAGAATTAAATATCTTGGTACATCTAATTTGTCTCTGATAAGACTCAAAGAGGGCACTCAATTAACTACTCCTTCTGCAGCCTCCCAGAGCTTATGCTATCTCTTTTCAGAACTTCCCTAGGCCCATCAGCAAAACAGACAGGGAGACAACTTGTTCTCACATTCCAACAGTGTGATCATGACATTCAGCACTCTGTTGCTTTTTCTTGATACCTTTCAACAAATATGTATATATATATAACTTTTAGAGTGGCGTAGTAATAGGAGCGCCTGTTCATGGAACCCAAACACCCAGATGCAAGCCTTCTGCAGCTAGAGAGTTACTCCAGGGTGATACACAGCAATGTACTCAGTGGGGGCCCTGATAGGGTCTAAAAGAGCAGGCACCACTAGCGATGGGTCACTGAATATAAGCATAAAGATTTAGAAAGTCAGAAACACCGGAGAGCAGAAGCACCATCCCATCACTTACATTTCTTGCCATGGTTTTGAAGTGCTGTAGTCTCAACTGGCTTATTACGTGCTGAACTCAAAGCTGCCTATGTGAGTGATGCACACTCATGGCATAGCTACTGGAATAGCCCTTGACCTTAAAGGCAATATATGCCTATTCTGTGAATTTAAACATTAAGCATTAAAATGCTCTGCACAGTCAAAATGATGCCAGCCCAGCAAAGCAGAGCCAGCAGCACTTTGTGTGCTTAACAAATCTTAGTAGCAAGAACATGAGATGCCTCAGGATTCTCAGTCATACAAGAAAAGAAGGATTTTGTGGGGATTGCTCACCTGGACCCACAGGCCTAAATACATCCCAAGTGACCCTTTTGGCACATAAACATTGGGGTTTTTTTGAATCTGGCTTTATGTTTCTTCCTCCCTTGTAACAATCCTGACAAACAATCCATTTGTCTGTGACCTCCACCCTGGATTACTATAACTCACTATGTGGTTGAAGCTGAATGTGCGGGTAAAGCACAGGCTCCAGATGTGACTGTTCAACTTTTCCAACGCACACATCATTACAGAATAACAGACCTGCATTTAAGCCTCTCTACAAGCTCCCAAGTAGTTTCTAAAACAGACCCAATAAAGAACCAAGGAATTTCAGGTTGTTCATCCCCATGATTTAATAGGTATCCTGTTTCAGTGGATAGGGAGAGTTAAGAGCCTTAGAACTGCAAACTGGACAGCCCAGATGCTGAGAAGCCTAGGATGAACTACACACAGAGCATATCTAAAATCTGCTCCAGACTGTAAGGGCCTCCAAGCACCATTTAGCAATCCTTCATGGTAGTTAGGAACACAGATACCTAGAGCTCCC